AGATATGAAATTGACACCAACATTCAGTAATGATAATTATTGGGGGGGGGGTTTAAATACCCATATCTGTGCCCTTAGCGTCGGTAGTTTATTTAGGAAAGATCTAGAATTCATAAGGATAGATTTGAAGTAATGATTGAAGTATCTAAGCTCGCTAATCAGGCTCAAGTATGGTTCGCCACCCACCGGTTCCGCGTAGCATGACAACATTATATGACAATTAGTGTCAGTACCAAGTTATCTGATCCTTTTCGTGAATAATGAGTTGTGTTATTGGATTCACTATGGGGTGATGCAGTTCTAGGCCTAGGTAGGTTGGGGACTTAGTTAGGAGCTTTATTTGACCTGTGAATGCACAAGCATAGGATGTGCTTGATAAATGTGAGTGCATTGGACTTTGCTTCCTTCCTTTCCAAGAGGGAGCCAACACAAGTGGTTCAGGTTGACAGCACTTAATATCCCCACCAGTTTCTTGGTCAGAGCAGAAAGGGATACAGCGGATAGAAATCGTTGGTAGCCTGCGATCCCCATGACGTAATAATCTGCCCACTCTTTGGAAAAATTTTAAGTGACCTTACATAGGTTTCGCTATACGCATTGCTGCGCAGTGGTCTGAATTTCAGCTGACTTATGCCGTATATCCTGTCATAGTTTGTTTGCGCGTCATACTTTGAAGACTTAAAGTCGTTGGTATCTAAGCTCTGAGTGTTGTCACCTGCACTGTTCTGTGTGATGGTGTTATAGCACCGTCTACAGGTGTGGGCTTTAGTGTGACATGGCATGGTATGCCAGCATGTTCTGTCGTTACTGTCCGTAAACCGTATGGTCTTATTTCTGATTTTGATGTGGTTGCTAGTACTCTGTTAGTATTTTTGTCTCATTTCCATTACAGCGTGGAGTTTTCTCAGAAGTTTGAAAAGGTAGGGGATTTTTCGTTACGAGTGGTGTATTTCAGCATGTTCTGTGACCGAATTTCATTCCGACTCCCATATTATGGATAGGCGGGGATGTTGTCGACTTACGAGAGGTATTGAATTTTGTCTTATGGCTATCCAGAGGCACATCTGAATCCACAGTAGAAGGTGGAGGGGCTAATTTAGTAGTCGGGTTATTATTCATTAGCCTTTCGGTTGATGTCGTGTTCTGTGGAGCCTTTCCCGTTGGATTTGAGAGGGGTAGGCTGTGAGTTCTACCATGTTGGCCATGAGTTTATCTATTTTGGTGACTTACGGTGTCTCGCCCTTCTTGCCATTAGGCTTGGTGAAGTGATTGTAAGCACAGCTTTCAATCACTGTCATGTCTGCTACAACTTTTATTTGTCTGTAGCTCGTATCCTCCAATAGGATTCTTTGTGTATTGATGAATTTCTTAGCCTCTGTCTGTGTTTCAAACTGAAAGCGTATATGGTGGCAGTAGTTGTGCTGACTCTCTCAGTTTGTGGCACTTTGTTTGGGATTTAGGCATTCTCGCCATCTTAAGTGAGAAACTTGGAGCCTTTTTCCTTTCTTCACTACAATTTCCTTTCTTCATTTTAAACTACCTTACTTAGTTTAGTAACTATTCTTTCGATCACCTCAGGATGTCTGATTTGGTTACCGATTCTTTGTCGGGTCCATCAAAGTTTATGGTTCTGATCAGGATGTTCAGAGGTGCAGTTTCGAAAACCTGTGATTTTGCGTCACTAAACTGTGTTGATAGTTCAGATATGCTGGTCAGGTTTTCTGAACACACTGGATTCACAGACTAACTGCACCTTATATCCCGTATCTCAGCTCTGCTACAGACATCTTTAGTCGTTCTATTTCTGAAGTAAGTGTTGAAGCTGGTCTTGGTATCTGAAGTTTATTGGCACGTACATAAGTCGTAGCGGAGAGGTCTACATCAGGACTAGGTTCTGAGTTTATAGAAGCGATGCTACTATTAGTTGTTGGCATATTTTTGCTGTCATTTGCGGCCACAGTAGATGGTAGTGACACGTCAGCTCGACGCTTGCGACATAATGACTAGCTCTGTGACACACTGCCATATTTTGTGGGAGTTGTGTTGTTTGTTGTAGCTAGCAGACATGCGCCAAAAGTCATCAGGTTAGCGGATCACTGGGTTCATGGTTTTTCGCATGATTAACTAAAACCGATTAGTGAAAGAGTTGTTGGTTACAATTATGGAACTGGAGGAACACTTGTTTGAGTCTAAAAACAAATATACATGACGAATCACGCTAAAATGTAACGCAAACAATGAACAAACTGTAGCCATTATGTCCTTGGTCTACGCAGAACAAATACTGTGGGGATTATGGGTGCAGGAACTTGAGTCGGTACATGTCGTACTTCCCGTAAATTTCAACATTTCGCCTTCTCTGAAGATGTGTTCCACGACCCTGCAAAGTTACGCGTTTTCAGAGCAGAGGGTACAGTCAGCACTCCGCTCCAACTTCATCCTTTTGAAATGACCATTAATAATGTTAATTGTTTAGTATTTTGACGACTTATTTGTCCCCAAGGAGCGCGGTGTCTCAAAACTCAATAAACCCCATCCCGCAGTCGTATGTTGATGCCACATACCAAAAGATCTACAGCAGAAAGTTCGATGAAGCCCTTGGAGTCGAAACGAGAGTAAGACAACTGCCGCATATCACCAATGACATTCCTGATTCAAGTGATGGTTTGTAGGGATTTGATTTGTTTCAGGATTTCATCATGAGCTGACATTAGTTAGAGAACCATTGGAAAACCTGGGAGTACTGGACAGATGTTTCGTCCTAGTTTAGGACTCTTCTAACGTCAGCTCATGATGAAATCCTGAAACCAATCAAATCCCTACAAACCATCACTTGAATACCAATGAGATGCTCACTGGCGACTGGCCCTATTCAGGTAGGTAGTTACCTGGGTTCCAGTGGGAAGTCGTGACCAGTAGGGTGCAGCCGGTCGGGTGTGAGGACAAATACTCGCCGAAGACATTAGCTAGCAGTTGCGCTATGTAGTGAATTAGCAGAAGTTAGAATTCAAGGACCATTGGATCGGGCGTCAGTGGCTTAATGGTGTACAGGCTCGCCTTGTAACCGGAAGGCCTGGGTTCGAATTCCGGTGGGTGAGTACTGCTGAAGAGTCCCAAACTAGGACGAAACGGATGTCTGTCCAGTACTGCCAGGTTTTCCAATGGTTCTCTAACTAATGTCAGCTCATGATGAAATCCTGAAACATTCCTGATTGTATTGCATTAGATCGTGTAACAGGCGCTCAGTGAGAAAACAGATGGATTCATCACTTGGATTTTATATCACGGTTTACGAGGGAAATCAGAAATATAAAATATGCATAGTGAAGTGTTATAATGTGCTGTCCTGGATACAAATGTATTTAGTGTAAAAAATCACTATAGACTTTTACATTGGTCGAGAATCATTCAAAACACAAAGATTTAAGCCTTATTCTCATCTCTAACGTCTGTAACTTACCTACCATCTCCTGTAGACGGCAGCTTGATATGCACTTCAAAATTTTGAGTAAAACAGAATTCTCTGTGCAGGCTTTCAGCCCTAAGAGTCTGGAGTGATTCCATCGAAAATTAAAGGCTATCCTTTTATCTCAATTCAATCCAACTCCCCAGAAAGAGTTCATTATACAGGTAATTTTTAGTTCCCAGATAACCATCAAGGCCAGTGCTGCGTTACCGACATCATGAATAATATCCGAAATCGGTCTGAAGTTCCCAAAAGAGACAGTCAGTCTTGGTGCTGAGAACGATACACCTGATCAGACGGAATATGTTGAGAGGCTTGCACTGCAAATGACTGACTTAAGGCATTTTTCATCAAGAAAGCTGTCAAGATTGATAGGTATATTTATATATGCCCAAAGGCTTGTATTCCTCCCCATCATGTATTGGTGAAATGCGATTTGGGACAGCCACTTTTTGGTCCACCACGCGCAGGGTTGTCTAAAGTAAATGCTCGGCACTCAAAGTACTACGCGTTTCAGTAAAACGTGGAGTCAGTATCCAAACCTCGCTATCTAGACAGTGTTCTACTCCGAACGTCAATAGGAAAATTTCTGTAGGCGGTAGCCAACAACGCAGGCGCTAGTACATCAGATGCCAAAATAGTAAGTGAGTTAGGCAAGTTTAACTTATTGCTCGTGAAGTGTCTAGAAAAGACATGGAATGAGTCATCAACAATCTGGAATGCCAGCCCACTATGCCACATGAATCCTAATAACTTCTAAAATCTCGAAAGAAATCCTTGTCGGAAATTGGCAGAATTCTGTTGGCTCAATAGAATCTTGGCGGACAGGATAAATCTATTCACAAACATAGTAGTAGTAGTATTCGGGATCGTGAATATCGTGCCTACTGCGTTGGAAAAGGTAATATCGACGCCAAAATCAGCCTTCATGCTTAAACACGCTGTTAAGTACAGGAGATAATATAAAGCGTCCAACAATGACTTCGATGGGAAATGTGAGCAATAAGGTAATCTTCCAGACGGCTGAACTGCTACACATCTTCGAACGCTTAGTAACTGACCTTATACTGTGCTGTATGGATGTGCTACTCACATTCTCTGCATTTTTCACGTTACAAAGGGAAATGCCAAGTAAAGCTTAAAGATATCGTTTAATCTGGTAGTTTCACAGTCCTCACCAAGCTCAACTTTGGAGTTCCTGAGAAAGATCGGACCCAATCTTTCAGTACCATTGGTTTTATGCAGTCCCTTTTTCTACTAATCTTTATCATTTCAAAACTATCTGGTTCCAGAACCTGGTAGATAAAGTGAGATTTCGAATGTGTTTTACCCACATGCAACACTGCACCTCAGCCTAAATCGAAAACTGCTGATGACAGAGTGACATTTTGACACAATACAAAGAACTATAAAGTGTTTGGCTGAAAGTAAAATAAAGTTGTGACCTACTACAGATGATCAAGAAGTGTCAAAAATCTTTTATTAGACAAAAACTTGTAAAATTTCTCGACCGAAAACATGCATTGGAAAATATTTCCAACTAATAAAATTTTGCTTGTTAGTATTCACTGTTTTTCAGGATATTGATGTCTGAAGGTCATTTTCTATGTGGCGGCTTTCGCTCGTCTAGGTCCAGCGCGTCCTTTAGTTGGATCTTATTTTGGAGTGAGTTGATCTTTGAATTTATTAGTAGGTCATTGTAACCAGATAATTTGAATCGATTTTTGTTAAGCACCGTATAAAATAATGCGGTAGAATGTTTGCAATATAAGTTAGTAGTTTTGTGTTCATCTACGTTGACCAGTTTATAAACTGGTATACTCTAGGCTCGGTTATTAAAATGTAACTATCCCTTTATAATATTTTAATTTTGGTCACAGGGATATTACTTGGGGTCTTCTGGTGACGGTAGCGAACAGACACCAAGGTCAAATGACCTTGAATTTACCAATTATATTATTTCACGTGAAAATTGGTATTTGTTAAAAAGTGTATTTATAGGGCATTTGTGTAATAGGGCCGAATTATGCAGGGTATATACATCTAAAATGCTGTAAAACCTGGTCTTAGTTTCATATAGAGTATCTGTAGACATAAAACCGCTTCACTATCTGGGAAGTACCATTAGCCGTGCCAACGGGTTGATCTCTGACGAAATCTCAGCACGGATACAGAGGGCTAGTTTCGTATATGCTAGTTTACGCCGTCTATGGCGTAGACTTGATATCCGGCTATCGACCAAAGAGCGGGTGTACTGCTCATCAGTCCGCTTCGTCCTCCTTTATGGCTGTGAGACCTGGCCATTGGGAGTAGAAGACATGAAAAGATTAGCTGTCTTTGATCATAGGTGCCTGCGCTCTGTGTCCCGTGTGAAGTGGTGTAATAAGGCGAGCAATATTGAGATTACGTATCGGTCAAGTGGTAGGTAAGGAGGGGAAATCAATCGACGAGGTTGTGAAGTTACATCGACTGAGATGGTTAGGGCATGTGTTACGTATGCCTAGCCACCGCCTTCCTCGACCTATGGGCAATGTTAGCTGACATAAGATTGGTCAGGCTGGAGAAGAGCGGTCAAACCAAAACATGGCATCAGTCAACGAAGTCCGTAGCAGTTAGTTTAAGCCAACCACGTAGGAGGGTGTAGACTTCCTTACTGGTTGGCGTCCTCGGGACGGTAAAAACCAGTGGTTGGAAACAATTGGTGATATGGCTCAAAATCGTTCTCAATGGCTAGCGCAGATGCATCCACTCCTTGTGACTTATGACTTCCAGTGAAACTATACCGTTCTTTGTTATTACTATTCCTTTGTCTCACACCTCTGTTTACTGTCTCTAGTATGCATTTCTTCTACTCTCTTATCTTGCTTTGTGTGCTACATGGTCTGGTGACTCAAATTGCCGTATATCGATGCAAAGTTCTATGTCGAAAATGGACAGACAAAATACTCTGTAGAATCATGCTATAATAAAATAAAATAATAAAAATAACTAAGTAGTCTATACCTCCGTACATAGCTCGAACCAAAAGTCAACAGTTTCATGGATAGATCACACATATTATCTGACCATACTACTAACTCTTTTTCAACTTAATCCTATGTCAGCTAACACTGCTAAACGAGGAAGGTGATAAGTCGAAATGCGTAACACCTATCCTTACCCTATCAATCAATGCAGCCTCACGACATCATCAGCCGGTTTACCCTCTGCAGCTAACACTACGCCTGAACGCAGTGTTACTCACCATAGTACACCACCTAGCACGGGAAACACAACATAAAAACCTGTGGTCAAAGACAGCTAGCCTCCTCATGTCTTCCACCTTCGATAATCATGTCTCACAGTCACAAAGAAGGACACGGTGAACTGTTGCACAGTACACACATACTTTGATTGGTAGCCGGGTGTCACATCTACTCCAGAGATGACGTAAGTTGTTGACAAGTGCCAAGCAAACCTTTCGTATCCGTGTTGAGACTTCGTCCGTAAACATTAGGGCTGATGCAACCTCCCAGATAAGTGAATTGACCAACACGCCCAATCACTTCATTCCCTATCTTTCAGTTAGGAGTCGGCGTAGTTCAGTCATGCAGTGTTATCTTACACTTTATATGGGCAAATCTCATGCCAAACATTCAAAGATTTCCCCTCAGTATTTAGGAGACTCTGCGGCTCGTCAGCGTCTTCACTTAGGATTCAACAAGGATGTTCCTAGGTAACAAGTAATCCCCCAAGTCGCTAAAATCAGTTGAGGAGGTCAATGCCATTAGTACATATATGATGAAATCGAGAAAATTGGGACGATGCACACCTCTGATAAACACCACTTGTCGTCATAACTCCGGATGACAGCACCCCATAAACTCTTGCGCAGCTGTATTAGTTCGAGCAGAGTGCCATGATTATTTCAATATACTTTTTCCCCACTCCACAACCACACGTTACCACGGCAACCCCAAGTCGACGGAGACGAATTCCACCTTGACGTGGAGAAATGTGGCCAGTTTTGGACGCCGGTAAGTATGTCTGTCTTCCAGAATCTGTTGAAGGATGTCTATACGATGAATACGCCCTCTCTTTGGCCTAAAGCCATTCTGGTTTTATCACATTTGTTTCACGAAAGCAACACAGCCTACGCACGGTCATTCAACCTAGAACCTAAGACGCTATGCTAGTAACCCAAGCCCCCCTCTGAATACCACACGAAGACTTGTCGCCCATTTCACAAACTCAATTCTTTGCACTAGTTTGACGGAGCTATCCCTGATCCCTAGACATCACCTAACACCTCAGCTAACCAAAACAACAGTTTGTTACCAGTGTCCTTAAACACATGTAGAGTTATTCCACCAGGTCCTGTCTTGTCTCGTTTCATATTAAAAGCAGCTTTTGTAAACTTAGTTACAGATAGGGGACCGATATCAACATCCCATTCAGATACTTGGTGTTGGATGCTGGGCAGACTGCCTGTAAGCCACTTAGACTGCTCCTCAAAATCTTCCTTACAATATTCCAGTGGTCCGTTCTAAAAGCTAATTATGGTGCCGCTTCTCTCGGAGACTTTCTCACTTATCATTTACCGTCTGCAACCAGTTTCCCTAATAAGCCTAAATGCCTCTGTGACATTGTGTATCCCCGAAGCCTCTTCCATCTCATTCTCTTTTGTCGTCCACCACTGTTGGCGGTTGTTGTGGTCAGCTTGCTTTTCAGCAGCTTTCGCTCCTTATCAAGTTAGGAGCCCAAAGGAATCAGTCCTTCCACATCAGTTAGTTCGGATAAATCTGCAGAAATCTCTTGACATTTCATAACTTATGGTCTTACGTTATCTAAAGCCTTTACTACTAGTTTACAGTCTTCCTCAAGATGAGTCTGTTTCTCGATATCAGATATGCGTTTACTTATTGGTTACCTGCGTAAACTTTGAGTTCTCATCAAATCAGAAGGAGTAGGGTCTCTAAAGCTGCTTTTTTCTGTCGGTTCAGTTGTAGGTATATACATGTACGGAGTAGAGTGGTCCGTTTACACAAGCGTTCCAAAAAGGAGAGGAAGTCTTATGACGATCTCCATCTATAGCCTGTAGCTAGGAAATATAATGGAATTCACCATTGATTTGATGATGCATAGTTTCTCCAAAAACTCCCTATTGACAACGTGATATAGTTGAGGGTAGGTGTGACGCAATCTGCACCTCGAAGGTCTCTTGAGAAAACCACCTGGTTAGTCTAGTTGTCTATGGAAAATCTCAGACCTCATATACTATACAAAGTTGAAATTCAATAAAAACTTCGATTCAACTACAACAATACTCAACTATTGATTTTCGTGTCCCTATAACATCTAATACTGTCGCATACGAACTTTTCATTTTTTTTCCATTGTTATTTTTATTCTGATCTTCATCTTAACCTATACTGCTGTGGTTCATAAGACTAGGTGCTAGATTTCAACGAAGGAATTACAGGTTTGGAACCTACTACACCTGGCAATACTTGTGCCACCAGGTAGTAACACAATTCCTCACATACTAGGTCTGACTCATTGCCTAATATATGAGCATATAAGTATTTGTCACCCAGCTGCTCATCATTCTTTGAAATGTTGGTACACCTATACCGTTGCGAGTCACTTAACAATTGTTTTCATAAAGTGATACTAGTCATCTTGTCTCGTTTAGGTTTTCCACTCACAAAATCCACGTCTTAATGCAAGTCGGCACACACAACTTGGGAAAGAACCCTTATGTGGATGTCAGAAGCATCTCAGAGACCCGTATTCAAAAGTTCAGTGAAACACTTAGAAATTCTCCGACTGTTAAGTGAAAGTTGTTTTCAACTATGCGTGGATCATTACAATCTTCAACTAGTACCGACCTACGATACACCTATCACCTTTATGCTATTCAGCCTTCTCCGTAGACACAAATAAACCAAATTGCAATCAGCCAACAGACATAAGTACATACAACACTGGAGTTCTTTCTCTAATACTTTTCTCGACTCAGATAAGTGCGTCATTGATAGTTAAATTAACCGTTTTAGTGGTAACCACAATCGTCATTCTAAATAAACTGATATAAGAAAACCAGATTTATCTACCTTTCCAACTAAATATTAAACCAAGGTACATTCGTTAGTAGCTACTAATCTTCCAAAAAGATAGTATTTGCAAACGTCTAAGCACGTCGCAAATAAAGACGTTCACGATTTAGAACAGTCCACTGGCAAATACTTAATTTCCGGGAATTCTTTGTTACTTCATGCTTTTTGTCGGTTAGATCTAGTGGGCAGCGAGTATAGTAATGAGTAAGGATGTTACACATAAAATCAAATGACAACTACGTCTAGACCACAAAGTCCAGTAATTACAATGTACGAATGACATAGAAGCAACGTCTACATCTAAAAACAGTTAGAAGCTTTATCCGTTTATTCAGACGAAAGACAACAATCCTGATGTCGGTGGGGCGGTCCGGTAAGGCAGACAGTAGGACAGTTCATAGCGTCCATTAATAATTGGAGTACTTTGCAAAAATAGTTTAGCTGACTTAGTGCCAGTGTTCTCTGATCTATTTAATATTACTTTATAGTCAGTTGACGCAGGCCTGGCAAACGAATAGAGAAAATGAGACTCTAAATACTGTTCCATAGGGAGGTCTTTGTGGTAGT